GCCCCAAAACTTCAACGTTTTCCATAGCCGGCATCATCGAAAAAGTCAGTTTTTGACCCAAAAATCCAACTCGACAAAAATTGCTCACAAGTTTACAAGAGGTGCCTAGAGGCCAGAAATGAATTTCCTGAAAAGTTTAACTCATTACATTCAGTATCCAGTGAGAAAACATTCTTTTTGGCTTTTTACAAAATGCCCCCAAAACTTCAACGTTTTCCATAGCCGGCATCATCGAAAAAGTCAGTCTTTGACCCAAAAATCCAACTCCACAAAAATTGCTCAAAAGTTTACAAGAGGTGCCTAGAGGCCAGAATTGAATTCCCTGAAGAGTTCAACTCATTACATTCAGTATCCAGTGAGAAAACAAAACTTTTTCGCTTTTTTACCAAATGCCCAAAAACTTTAACGTTTTCCATAGCCGGCATCATCGAAAAAGTCAGTTTTTGACCCAAAAATCCAACTCGACAAAAATTGCTCAAAAGTTTACAAGAGGTGCCTAGAGGCCAGAAATGAATTTCCTGAAAAGTTTAACTCATTACATTCAGTATCCAGTGAGAAAACATTCTTTTTGGCTTTTTACAAAATGCCCCCAAAACTTCAACGTTTTCCATAGCCGGCATCATCGAAAAAGTCAGTTTCTGACCCAAAAATCCAACTCCACAAAAATTGCTCAAAAGTTTACAAGGAGTGCCTAGAGGCCAGAATTGAATTCCCTGAAGAGTTCAACTCATTACATTCAGTATCCAGTGAGAAAACAAAACTTTTTCGCTTTTTTACCAAATGCCCCAAAACTTCAACGTTTTCCATAGCCGGCATCATCGAAAAAGTCAGATTTTGACCCAAAAATCCAACTCGACCAAATTTGCTCAAAAGTTAACAAGAGTTGCCTAGAGGCCAGAATTGAATTTCCTGAAAAGTTTAACTCATTACATTCAGTATCCAGTGAGAAAACAATCTTTTTGGCTTTTTACAAAATGCCCCCAAAACTTCAACGTTTTCCATAGCCGGCATTATCGAAAAAGTCAGTTTTTGACCCAAAAATCCAACTCGACAAAAATTGCTCAAAAGTTTACAAGAGGTGCCTGGAGGCCAGAATTGAATTTCCTGAAAAGTTTAACTCACTACATTCAGTATCCAGTGAGAAAACAATCTTTTTGGCTTTTTACAAAATGCCCCCAAAACTTCAACGTTTTCCATAGCCGGCATTATCGAAAAAGTCAGTTTTTGACCCAAAAATCCAACTCGACAAAAATTGCTCAAAAGTTTACAAGAGGTGCCTGGAGGCCAGAATTGAATTTCCTGAAAAGTTTAACTCATTACATTCAGTATCCAGTGAGAAAACAATCTTTTTGGCTTTTTTACAAAATGCCCCCAAAACTTCAACGTTTTCCATAGCCGGCATCATCGAAAAAGTCAGTTTTTGACCAAAAATCCAACTCGACAAAAATTGCTCAAAAGTTTACAAGAGGTGCAGAGAGGCCAGATTTGAATTTTATGAAGACTTTAACTTATTACATTCAGTATCCAGTGAGAAAACATTCTTTTTGGCTTTTTACAAAATGCCCCCAAAACTTCAACGTTTTCCATAGCCGGCATCATCAAAAAAGTCAGTTTTTGACCCAAAAATCCAACTCGACAAAAATTGCTCAAAAGTTTACAAGAGGTGCCTAGAGGCCAGAATTGAATTCCCTGAAGAGTTCAACTCATTACATTCAGTATCCAGTGAGAAAACAAAACTTTTTCGCTTTTTTACCAAATGCCCCCAAAACTTCAACGTTTTCCATAGCCGGCATTATCGAAAAATTCAGTTTTTGACCCAAAAATCCAACTCGACAAAAATTGCTCAAAAGTTTACAAGAGGTGCCTGGAGGCCAGAATTGAATTTCCTGAAAAGTTTAACTCATTACATTCAGTATCCAGTGAGAAAACAATCTTTTTGGCTTTTTTACAAAATGCCCCCAAAACTTCAACGTTTTCCATAGCCGGCATCATCGAAAAAGTCAGTTTTTGACCTAAAAATCCCACTCGACAAAAATTGCTCAAAGGTTAACAAGAGGTGCCTAGAGGCCAGAATTGAATTCCCTGAAGAGTTCAACTCATTACATTCAGTATCCAGTGAGAAAACAAAACTTTTCGCTTTTTTACCAAATGCCCCAAAACTTCAACGTTTTCCATAGCCGGCATCATCGAAAAAGTCAGTTTTTGACCCAAAAATCCAACTCGATAAAAATTGCTCAAAAGTTTACAAGAGGTGCCTAGAGGCCAGAATTGAATTCCCTGAAGAGCTCACCTCATTACATTCAGTATCCAGTGAGAAAACAAAACTTTTTCGCTTTTTTACAAAATGCCCCCAAAACTTCAACGTCTTTCATAGTCAGCATCATCGAAAAAGTCAGTTTTTGACCCAAAAATCCAACTCCACAAAAATTGCTCAAAAGTTTACAAGAGGTGCCTAGAGGCCAGAATTGAATTTCCTGAAAAGTTTAACTCATTATATTCAGTATCCAGTGAGAAAACAATCTTTTTGGCTTTTTTACCAAATGCCCCAAAACTTCAACGTTTTCCATAGCCGGCATCATCGAAAAAGTCAGTTTTTGACCCAAAAATCCAACTCGACAAAAATTGCTCAAAAGTTTACAAGAGGTGCAGAGAGGCCAGATTTGAATTTTATGAAGACTTTAACTTATTACATTCAGTATCCAGTGAGAAAACAAATCTTTTTGGCTTTTTACAAAATGCCCCCAAAACTTCAATGTTTTCCATAGCAGGCATCATCGAAAAAGTCAGTTTTTGGCCCAAAAATCCAACTCGACAAAAATTGCTCAAAAGTTGCTCAAAAGTTTACAAGAGGTGCCTAGAGGCCAGAATTGAATTTTCTGACGAGTTTAACTCATTACATTCAGTATCCAGTGAGAAAACAAATCTTTTTGGCTTTTTACAAAATGCCCCCAAAACTTCAACGTCTTCCATAGCCGGCATCATCGAAAAAGTCAGTTTTTGACCCAAAAATCCAACTCGACAAAATTTGCTCAAAAGTTTACCAGAGGTGCCTAGAGGCCAGAATTGAATTCCCTGAAGAGATTAACTCATTACATTCAGTATCCAGTGAGAAAACAAAACTTTTTCGCTTTTTACAAAATGCCCCAAAACTTCAACGTTTTCCATAGCTGGCATCATCGAAAAAGTCAGTTTTTGACCCAAAAATACAAGTTCATCAAATGTCCTCAAAAGTTCACACAAGGTGCCTAGAGGCCAGAATTGAATTCCATGAAGAGTTCAACTCATTACATTCAGTATCCAGTGAGAAAAGAAAAAATTGAGATTTTTTACAAAATGCCCCCAAAACTTCAACGTTTTCCATAGCCGGCATCATCGAAAAAGTCAGTTTTTGACCCAAAAATACAAGTTCATCAAATTTGCCCAAAAGTTCACAGGAGGTGCCTGGAGGCCAGAATTGAATTCCCTGAAGAGTTCAACTCATCACATTCAGTATTCAGTGAGAAAAGAAAACTTTTAGATTTTTTACAAAATGCCCCAAAACTTCAACGTTTTCCATAGCCAGCATCATCAAACAAGTCAGGTGTGTTTACAAACACAAATGCCCTGCAACCTTGACTGTTCCCATGACATAACACCTATATCGAACACCGCTATACTGAACATTCGGCTATACTGAATATTGTCATTGGCTCCATTTTTTGTGTTCCAAACCAACCGAACATTGTTGTTGGACAACGTCAACAGAAGAGTGACAAGTAGCTATATTATTTCCCCAAGGAATAGAGGGGGAAAGCCACCCATCGATATAGGTAGTAAGCTCAAGACTGTGTAATTACATAATTCAATAGTCAGCACATGTTCGAAATCGTCTTTAAGTAACTACAAGGATGTGCAGGATGAATAAGCAGGGCGCTATTTATTGACTGTACTAACTAAGGATGCACTGTGCGTTGTCATGTTGGAATTTAGTTACACTTAAAACGTGCACAAATGAGCCTCCAAAGAATACGAGGCTCTGGAAATTACATGAAAAGTAGACATCTGAGAAAGCAGACATTTGTTTTCATTGCTAGTACGTGTATTACGCTTCCAAAGCGTAAATACACTAGCGGCAAAGTCTGAATGTGAAAATCGAAGAAAATAAAAGTACAAGTGACAAATATGATCGCGCAGGGTGTGGCCGATATTTACGGAGGTAGTCCAGTAAATTGGCAGGAGAACTAGACATGACAGACTTGAAAGATGTTACTCGGACTAGTACTTTGCATACTTACAAAATCAGACTTGTATTTGGCATGTTTGAGGTATTTATCACTTCCAAAAACAAATGAATTACAAAAATGGAAAAAAAAATTTACAACCTGACATACCACTTCCACGATTGTGTACAAAGTCTATGGAGAGTCAAGATTTTTTTAAAAGTATTTCCTAACAAAATTGCAAAAGATTCTCACTAGTCCCAGATTCATGTTATCATCATTTTTGCAATGAATGACCTTATTGAGATGATAGGCTTATGAAGAAAAAAGTGGCGTCAGGTTGCAACATTTTCCCCCCAAAATAACTTAGGCCCTAAGGCCTCTTCAGTCAGTAAGAAGGCCTAGCTGACACTATGTTTTTGTCACAGCCATTGTTATTTCAATATTAAATTAGAAAATAAAACGTCCAGAAAACAAGAAACAATCAAAATAAAAAAGAAGTTTAATTTAAATCATAAATTGAAGCAGATTCTTTATGAAGGTATCTAGGCTCTATCTATATATAATGTCGCCAGCTGTCCTAAAAAGAAATGACAACTAATCACTATAAATAATGAGTATGACTGCAACAAATCATTTAAGTGGGGCGACCTGGACATTTATATAGGTCACTGGACAAAAGATGGGGCGAAAAGTGCAAGTGTGAAAATGACGGACCATTTCGACGGCAATTTAACAATAACATTTTAACATTTCTGATACGATCTGTGATTCCAAAATAAAACCATATGAAAATCTCACAGTGTATGTTTAGCTGGCTCGTAAGACGATGACGATTTATTCCCAGGAAGGCTGTAAAACGCTCCTGGACGGGGGCCATTCTGCCAAAAATTTTCTGGTATGTAGGACGCCATGATGATTTTTGAGAAATGAACCTTGTAACCACTTTCAAGATAAACATTTCAAACTTTATTAAAATTAAACAATTTTGTACAAAAAAACAAATTATAGCATAAAAAAAAATAAAAAAACAACTATATAGTTTTTTTGTGCATACGTAGTTTTAAAAGAAAATGAATCCTTCAATTATTTATGAATAAATTATGCCTTTTCTAGCCGAATTTCCGTCTAGCCATGTACTTGTAATCATATATTTTTTTATGGCTACGGTTTCAAGATTTTCCCACTGATCTCTATGTGCAAGATACAGTGATCAGCCATAGCCGGAACGTCCGCTTTGGTTTTACAGAAGTAATTCTCGCGAGATATTCCGTGATTTGCATGTTCACTGTCTTGGTTACATTCATAACAACGTACGTCATTGTACGTGTGCACGTACGTACGACGTGAACGTTCTTCGTAAGCTTCAGCTAGCGTAGTGCAAACCCATACGATTACGCATGACGTACAGGCCGGGTACGGTATACGATCACCGACCGCCGATGCACACATAATTATTTTGTAGGACGACCATCGAGCTCGAGAGAAGAGGTTGCATTTGATCGTCAAACCAAACGTATTAATTAATTTATACTTTAGCCATGGTAAGTTCTTTAACTTAGTTTAAGAAATAATGAAGGAATGTCTCTTGTCGTGTACAAACTCTATCAAAAATCCCTAAAATCGAACATGATTTAGTAAGTAAGTTAAGAAATTGTTTCGACATGTTCGAAATGTTCTCAATCCTAAATTGAAATTATTTTTTTTAAACATCTTTTTAATCACGGACCATCAATGGGGTTAAAAACTTAAAATAAGACATTTATTATGGTTGAAAAGGGGCAACAGATAGCCCATGTTGGACGAAGTCTTCATTGCATTACGACTGACTGTACACAACGGAGTCCAACCTGGGCTAGGCATCAGACAGAACACTGCATTCTATCCGTTTTGACAATGTTTGATTTTGAATAGATGGATTTTGCCTTTTTTGGGGGTCTGTTTATTGGTAGACTTTACTGTTTTTACGCCTAAAAAAACTACTTACTCATTACTAATTTAGAAGGCACCTGTGTGCACGGTTTGGGTGCCTTCTAATTTTAGAAGTGGCCTAGGCCTGACAAACTAACCAAATTAGTACTTTTAATTTTTCGCAGTGGCTATTGTTACGGCAGCCGTAACGCATTTCCCATTTTCTATCGTTACGGTAGACTGCAACCTGGCAACTTTTATAAAAAAAAATGACAAGAAAATATAAAATTAGAAGGAAAAAAGTGAATTTGAACTTTATGAAATTCGGACTTTATTTCCCTTTTAAAAAAAATCCTCCAAAGCCTCAGGTTAGAAAAGGAAAAAAATTCGAGTGCAAAACTGAGATTCGAACCCGCAACCTCGCGGTGCAAAATCCTACCCTCTATCGGCTGAGCTGGCACACTGCTCGATAGAACGTGGGGAAACAAATAATTATATACCTGCGTGCGTATCAAAAAAATATCGTAGAGGGCGCTAAACAACGAGTGCCGTAACGATAGCCACTTCGTTAATTTTTCGCTTCAATAAACATTGATAGGTCAAAAACAAATCCATGGATGGAATAGAAAATCAGAGTGATACCCTAAATTTAAATTTAACCAAACATGATGTCATCATTAATGAGTATAAAATAAACTAAATGTGGATTTCGGGAGGTGTTACTGAATTCTTATAAAATATTCTAATCCTTTATGCACAGGCAATGGTAAGGCGCAACCTAACCCATGCTCAACAGGAGCGACAACAGACAGAAAACAGACGGAAGGAGGATGTTCGTCAAGACCACGTCAAACGTCTTCAGCAGGAGCAGCTGTTTGAGGCCAACATGGCCAGCGAGGAGCGAGTAGAGACCAAACGATACATCCGCCACATGCAGAAAGAGCAGCAGGAGCGAGAGATGCTGGAAAACATCGCCAGGGTGGGTATCCTGCCAAGCCTAACCCAATCCTACATTTTCCCCATTCCATTTGTTTCAGGTGTATTTTTTTTCCATCCTTTAGACTTCCATTAGTCATATCATGATATAGCCCCATTAATGTGGCCTATTTACTGGACTGCCTCCGTAAACATAGGCCACACATCCACATGTACACTTTTTCAGATATCTAATTTTTGTGAAATTTCATGTTGAAATTTTGATACGCATACGTGTAAAAATGAATCTGTAAATTTCACGAAAAATATACATCTGAAAAAGGCAGCACTTTCTGATTAGCCTATAAAGAGGGTGAGTATGCTTCTAAAGCAAAAAAACCCTACAAACTAAGCCTAAATGTGAAAATCAAAATTTGGCAAAGTCGACACGATTTTTGTACATGTGGATGTGTGGCCTATGTTTACGGAGGCAGTCCAGTAAATAGGCCACATTTATGGGGCTAATCATGATAATGATAAGGCCAAGTCCAAAAATGAACAAGTTTCGGAAAGATTTCCATATACGAAGTTCACTAATTTTCCTCTGTATTGACTAACAAGCCCCCAGATAGCAATTTCATGTCATCAAAGTCAATTTGAGCAGTGAGAAAATACAAGCATTTTCTTAGAAAACACTTAGAATTTTTCAGTCCAATCTCATAGGGTTTGTACACAGGGTGTTGAGTGAACTTCGTATCTATATGGAAATCTTTTCCAAGTTTCTTTTCCCCGACTGCTGCCTTTTTTCCCTACTTCCAGACATTTGCAGTATATTTTGCATATTTATTGTCAATATATTGTCTTTTCATCTGCTTCGAACAAAAGTGTAGCTATATAGATAGAAAGGGTTATGGCTGCCTTGGACACACTTTTGTATTGGCAGAAACCTGAAGAATCCATCCGTCATCTTGGAAATCCGTCATCTTGGGATACAGAAAGCAAGAAAGAAAAAAATTCCCACAGCTTTCTTTTTTTTTTTTTTAAAGGCTGGATGAGAATCTACTTATTATTTTTTTACTTGGCCTCACAGCAAATTAAGCTCCCAGATCCTTCAGAAATCATTAAAAAGTTACAGAGAATTTTGCAGTAAAACCTAACCACTTTTTACAGGCCAGGGGACATGTCCCATGAAAGCAAGCGTACAAAGAATGTGCCAATGGGTTCGTGCACACAGTGGATTTTAGTTTGAGGAAGGATCCTATTATTTTAAAAATACCATATGAGTTAAGGACAAGCTGAATCTTGCATAAGTGTGTGCTTATTTTATTGTCAAGTTTTGATGTCTTTTTGGTCTAATCTGCAAACAGGCCCAGCAGCTGAGAACACAGCGAGAAGAGCAAACTCAGGTTGAGGAGCAGATGGCCAGAACCATGGAAAACCTCAAACTCCAGGAACAGCGAGACCGTTTGGTCCGCCAACAGATCCGCGAGAACAGCGTGGAGTTGAGAGAGCTGGAACGGGCTCTGAAGGCCGGCTACATGAACCGTGAACGCCACGCTCAGATCGCCGAGAAAGAAGCCGTCAAGTATGAGAAGACGGTAGGTCCTTGTAACAGATTACACTAGAAATAGCTTTACAAGCAAGAGTGACATCTCAATTTGGTGCATAGTGTTTTAAATTGTTCACATTGGCATAGCAGTACTTCCTCACCTTTCACCTATTGGACCCAGGTTCGAATCCCAGGTCCTGGTGAGGATTGGGTATTCAGTCCCTGACTGATTCTCCGGTTCTCTGCAACATCTTCATGACTGTTCTTTCCAACTCTGAAATGGAACGTTTCTTCATCATCCTTTCCCTAGTTTAAGTTTCTTCAGACCTCCAAGCTACAGCGTGTCTGTATATACTTTTAAGGGATCTGTGGTTTAATCACCAGAACAGTGATGAATTTGAGTCCATCATAAGTCCTCACAAGTCCATCCGTCGCAAGTCAAGTCGCAAGTTATTCCGACAAAAGCATTCCTTTGGTAGTTGTTCATCCCCCGCCACTGTAACTGGGCTTGTGAAAGAACTTGTGATTTACTTTTTACCAGACTTGTGATGGACTCGTGATGGACGCGACTACAGCGTTGCACCGCAATGAATTTGAAATTTAAAAAAATCCCTTGACCTTCTTCGTAGGCACGAGATGCAGAGATTTCTCGGATGATGAAGGAAGAATCGGCGCGGGCCGAGGAAGAGGACCGACGCAAGATGGAGGAAGAATATCACGAGAAGGTGCGCTACCACCTTGAGCTAGAGAAACAACTGGAGGAACAGGAACGCAAGAAGCAAGAGGACTACGAGGAGTTTCTCAAGGAGAAACTCATGATCGATGAGATTGTACGCAAGATTCATGAGGAGGATGACAGGTGAGTTTGTTTTTATCTGCTGTGCGCATTACCTTTTGAGGGCACTGTTTCGTAACATTTTTACTTGATGGAAGGGGGGGGGGACTGTGTTTCATGTACTTGCCAAAATGGATGCGGAATTGGAAAGATGCATTCTGTATTCTAATAGTGTGATAAGATGTAGAGTGCCATGCCATGGGTCCAGTGGTTGCGGTGTTTGACTCATGTACGAAGGTGCGTGGGTTCGAACCGTACCAGGAACATGGTGTTTGTGCCCTTGGGCAAGACACTTAACTACAATTGCCTCTCTCCACCCAGGAGTATAAATGGGTACCTGTGAGGGTCGAGGACCGATTGAGCGCTGATATCAGCTGCCGCGTGGTCCCATGGCCTGATGAACGGGTTTATAATTATAAAGCGCTTTGAGATCGTTGATACGATGGAAAGCGCTATATAAGCACAATTATTATTAAATTATTATTAAGTAATTGGTAGTAAGAGTAAAAAAAATATTTTGTGAGGTGCCCAAATGTCTTCTTAAAGGGAAAATACACCATTTGCAAACATCGAAAAATAAAACTACCAAGTTTTTACGAAATACCTTACTAGGATGTTGGTAAATTACAGTCTAAAGCATTCTGTAAAATTGTGGCACCTGGTGTGAAGTCATTTTCAAGAAAATGGTATTTTTGTATACATGTACATTTCCAACGGTGATCGGCCGACTATTTTTCAACAACTGCTCCATTTTTACCATTTGTTTCAGTCCAAATTGTGTTTGCTATTGGTTACATGTTCATAAACAGGTGCAGGTCAGCTAGACTGGTTCCCTTACCTTACAATTTTCCGGCATCTATAAATTGATCCATTTCATTTTTAGTGGAGTCAGGGAACCAGACTACTTGGAACATTTTTGTTTTTCTTGGTTTTTCCAGCATTTTCGGACACAAAACTTCAAACATGTCAGTGTAACAATATTTTGTTCTATTATACTAACCCCTCAACTAGTTCATTTCTGAAAATTACAGCGAAAGCCAATGATGTACATTCCCTTTAAAAGTCTTATGAGAATGCGATATCTTTATGTCTCCACTGGGGACATTGTGATGGTCGAAACTAAGGGAATAAATATGTGCTTGGCCAGTTTAACTGGCCTGGGGCCTTGACGTATAATGGCCCGAGCAGAAAGCACTCCATATGGAAGAGTGAAAATCAATAAAACTGCTACAAACAGCCTACTGACTGCACTGACCTCAAATATACAGGGCGAGTCAAAAAAAGCGGAACCCAAACCCCCCAAAATATGTTTCATATTTTAAAAAAATATGTAGCACCAAAAATAATAATGATGTGAAAGCCAATTTCATAAGCTACTTTTAGATGAAAAAAATTACTGAAATCGGTCAATCCATTCAAAGAATATCACCATTTAAACGTAATGACCCTAAAACCGGTGTGTCCAAAAACAGCAAATTATTGTGTTTTTTTACTGTTTGGAACAACAAGGAAAATGACACAGAATACTTGGTTCAACAACTGTCAACAACTGTAGCACACAATATCTTTATTAACAACCCTGGTTAGGCAAACAATATGATTTATAAAATCCCTTTTTTTAATAGACTGGCCTTCAAAAGGACTTTGTTGAATATTTTCAACTTTTAAACTGAGGTTTTATTGCTGTTGATATTTGAAGACAATTGTGAGGACGATTCCTAAAATCTCTTCTTTTTTTTACGAGACAAGTTTTTTGGGGTCATTGTGTTTAAATGGTGATATTCTTTGAACGGATGGAGCAATTTCAGTACTTTTTTCATCTAAAAGTAGCTTATGAAATTGGCTGTTCAAGTCATTATTATTTTTGGTGGTACATATTTTTTAAAATATGAAATATAATTTTGGGGGTTTGGGTTCTGCTATTTTGGACTCACCCTGTACAAATCAACAAAATTTGAGGCCCTAATGCTTTGATTCTTAATAGGTCCTGCTTTGGATCAAAACTTTAGGCCCTCTAATTTTGTTGATTAATATCTATGAGTTACTGAAATACAAAGATTGCTGAATCCCACAGTATCAAGCAGCATGACAAGAAATATCTTGCGTGTTGCTGAGACACGAGTGAGTAATTGGATTAGAGTAATTGTCCACAGTTTGATTTTGTTGGGTTCTTTAATAGTTAAGGTAAATTTCCACAGCTCGACTTTTATTTAGTCCTCGTTGTTTGCCCCCACAGGGAGCGCGAGCTGTACCTGATGAAGCAGCACGCCACCCAGCGGTACATTGAGGAATTCAAGACGGCCCGGGAGGACTGGAAACTGAAGGAGAAGGAACGCATGGAGGAGGAGAACCGACGCATCTTGCAGTTTGCCAGCATGCAGCAGCAGAGAGAAGAAGAGAGGATGGAGAACAAGAAAGCACAGGAGGAGGCGAAGGCCGCGGTGCAGCAGAGTGTGAGTATTGACCTATCGCGGTAGAATCGCGTCAACGCAGCTTGTGAAACATTGTCCAATTCCATGATATACAAATGGACGCGGAACGCGCAGAATCTGAGACAAACAAAACTTATTGTACAAAAAATTCCACAAGGTTATCTAAGGGGCGTGGCTAACTTGCAAACGGCGATAGGTCAATTGAGTCAAGGGGTGGGTGGATGGCATGGACAGGGGTAGGACAGGGGTAGGTGTTGGGGGGCTTATTCCCGTCGTCTTCCACATTTTCTCAATTATTGTATCCTGCTGAGTTGACTTAATGGATTGCTTTTTTCCTTTTGGTTATTCCTTGAAATCAAAAGTGGTCAATCTTGTCTTTATTTACAGACGAGGGTGAAAAGTCTTTTAGATACCTCCACTTTCAGTTTTTACTGTTTATTATATTATTATTAATTGAATTGATACTGATACCATTGCTTCAAGATCGGGAAAATAGGGGAGGAAAACACAACTGTCACAGCAGTAAGTATCCATAAATGCTGTTTCTGGATGCTACCAGAGATGAACGAGAAAACATTGGACATTTTGTTGTCATTCTTTTACAGTTGAGCGAAGAAATCGCCCAAAAGCGTGCTGCCGAGGAGGAGATGGCCAACATCCGACAGCAGCTGTACCTGGAAGAGCAGGAGGAGGCCGAGATACAGAAGATGAACGCGGAAATCGAGAGACGCATCAGACAGCGTCTGGACTTGCAGCAGTCACGCCGCGAGGAGCTGATGCTCAAGGAGATCCGGAGACAAGCCGAGAAGCAAGAGGAGGAGGAATTCAAGCAGCAGGTTGGTGATGTAGAATTTTCTCTCTCCTTTAAGCAGCCGATTCTCAGAATCTGGTGCAGCGATGGTCATCCCAAAAGTCTTTAATCTCAGGTTTACAGTTGGGAGAATATTTCCATGGAGCTGCCAATTATAGACATTAGCTAAGCGCAAGAACTATTTACCTAGCAGAAACCGGTTATCAGCCAAAATGCCATGCAATGTGTATTGCTTGTGACTGGTAGTCGGCCTATTTTTGCTGAGCACATACATTCCCCAAGCAATGTTATCTGCTTAGCAGCTTGATTGGATTGGTCCAATGTCAGCAGTTACACCTCGGGTTGTTAAGAGTCACATTTGCATCATAGGCTTTGCTTTTAGATCTTGAGCCGTTCGACATTTTTTCCACAGTCTCTCTGGTGAAATTTCCAGTTGTACCTTTTTTTCACTGTTACATACTCAAGTCTTAAGTCTCTGTTTTCAGATCTTACATTCCCAGTCCTTAACTATACCCCAAGTCCTGCAGACCAAGTCTTTTATCTTGTCTAATTATCTAATAGTCCTGAAGGATAACGATTAATGTGCTTTTTAAAAGATTATTTAATAGACCTTTATTTTAAATAAAAATATTCCCGTAAACTCTCTTAGTGATAAAGGGGAAGTGTTTAAAATTGAAAACAAATACGGGAACGTTGGGCTCTGTTTGTTGGGTTGGGTCACCTATTTGCAAAAACTAGGTTGAAGGCAAGCTACTCTTGGGACACCAGTGAATTCAAGCTCACTGTTCTCATCCGTAGATGCTGGCTAAGTTTGCGGAGGACGACCGCATCGAACAGATGAACGCCCAGAAGCGTCGCATGACCCAACAGCAACACAAGAGGGCGGTAGAGAAGCTGATTGAGGACCGCCGGGCCCAGTTTGCCGCCGACAAGCAGAGGGAGTTGGACGGCCGGCGAGAGGAGGAGATGCTGGAGAAACTCCGACAGGACATCATCGAAGAGGAGAGACAGAAGCTGCTCAGGGAGCATGCCTCCAAACTGCTGGGATATCTACCAAAGGTGAGGGCACTTCAAACTTCCTTCATTCCTTGGTCGTGTTATTTGATGCAGAGATTCATTTCTATCAATCACAATTCAGTGAAATTGGTATTATAAAATCAAAGACAGCTGGTAGTGGCATCTCAAACACTGTAACGTATTTGGAATATAGGGATGCACAACCATGTCTTTGCCTAAAACAGGCCTATTTTCAACATGGTTCAATTTCTATTACCTGCAGTTAATCAGATTTCTTCATTAATTGTGGTACCAAACCATAGAGCTATATTAAATTACTAGAGTGCTAACTCGATGTACAAAGTAATGCCTGATGGGCGTATCCATGTTTGTGCACAAACCTATGGAAAACTCGAAACAAAATTTATTTGCATATCTGCGTTTGTATTCCATACCGATGCGTCATCTAAGCCGATACGCCCAAAACCGAAACGCATGATCAGCAAATGAGCGTTTCATTTTGCTCTATGCAAACAGCACAACGTCTGCGCGTCCCTCCGCTGCAGATGCTTTTCGCCGTGATGTTTTTTGAACTGTCATGACACGCTTAAGTTGTTTGCGTATCTTCTACTTGCGCGTTGCATTTACAGTTCACTTTTCAAATTCAATCCATTTTTTTTTTATTGTGTTCTACAAACACGCACATAAATTCAAAATGTCTGCGCCCAGAGCGGCTTTAAAGCGTCTCCGCGCGCAAGAATGAGGAGTTAGCACTCTAGTAATTTAATATAGCTCTATGTACCAAACACATCTCATGTATCTCGAAAGCCTTGCAAAAAAGTACCCAATCCTTGACACACATTTCATATTGAATACTGTCACGCAGTGTATATGACTGGAAGCTGACTTTTTTCCAACTACACACTGCACTTTTTTTCCAGTTTAATCCTTGTGTTACGTGTTTAGTGAATTTTCATTTTTACCAACTCTTCAATAACGCCGATTATTATTTTTTTTCTGACAGGGTGTCATCAGAGACGAAAAAGATCTTGAAATGTTTGACGATGATTTCAAGCGGAGGTACACAGAGAGACAAAGTGACTTCTTTGAAGACGGGGGATGGGAGTAGACGGGTTTCTCAATTGTATTCCAAGCTTTAAAGAAGGGTGCCTTTCAACCAAGCATTGTTGGTTGTATTACCGGTATATATTTTGTTGTGGTCGTGTACTGTGTGGGTTCGGTTCTTCGTTCCTATTTTTTCTAAATGATGCAAGAACATACCAAATCACCTTCCATTTGTTAAATAAAGGGGAATTTTGTGACTGGGGACAATATTGAAAAGCCATTTTTATTCTCACTTAAGAATTCTATATTGCATCCGGGTTCTTCTAACATCTTCTTGCACTCTTTGTTATTTGTCACGTCAGTGCATCAAGGCCGTAACTCGATTCTGCAACAAAGTTGTATATCGCGCGAATGCGCTCCATGCAACAAGGTCATATTTCGCGTATCGCAACGTCCATTGACTTTGTGTGTACATGCGTTTTTTTTTTTAAGCGAGATATGACCTTTCGACATTGAAAACTCACGTTTTACGTACATGACGTCAAATGCCATTTTAGGAGATACGACCTTGTTGCACGGACACGATAAATTGTCAGATTCCTTTAATAGATGATTATCCTGTTTTGTTGAATATTTGGCTCTGTTTTCATTGCCTAGTTGGCTGTCATCCAGGGGTCAGTTTTTGTGGAGCTGCTTAACAAGTAGCACATGAGTTTTGCTAACTTAAGCAGAAATATTGTGTCAATGCTAAGCATATTCCGCGCTTGCTCATGTATGGACATTTCTATTGTGGTGTTACTATTCAAAAAATTCTGCTTGTGACGCGAGCCTGCTCCTTACTGTGCTTATTAAAAAACGGACAAAGGCTTTATACTCACACATACTGCTGTGCAGTGTGGGGAAAAAATTCTACAAGCATATCTGTCGAATTTAAATTACACCTGTCATAATTGATTAATTGATTGGGTCATGCTGTTTATGAGAAAAATGAACCTTACCACCACTTTGATGTAAGAAGTTGCAAGGACGCATGTGTGTGGCAACAATGTAAAAAAGTTGTTCCATTGCAATTTGCAAATATATGTATAAATGTGTGTGAACTATTTGTAACAAGTAAACAAGTTGAAGTATTCAGTGGGGATTGTGTATTTAAATAACGGGTTTAACAAGTGTGGGACACGCAAAGCACAATTCATGTATTATGCGTCCAGCATAATTTGTATAAAAATGTGTGTTAAAAAAATTGAAGTGACCTTGGACCGAGTGATCCAAGAAAACGTGAATATTAACATGAAAAGATGTAAATAATAATCTAGTTCTGGTAAAGTAGACATTAATGTCCTTAGTGGAAAGTTTTTGATAAATATGGTCCATGTACAAAAACTTAAAGAGAAAATAAAATGAGCTAAAAAACGAAGTACATTGTACACGTCTGCTTTGAGATTTTATTCAAACCTTGTATTGTACAACTTTGGTATTGAAGTGCACGTTGTTCTAATAATGGATACGCCATCACTGTTGACAGGAAATTGCGCTGTTCTCCATTCATGGGGATGATAGAGGGCGTAGAGCTTGCTTTAGCAGACAACTGAAGCCATGCCATCTATGTGCATGTACTGAAGATTACGCTCCCAGACATAAGTGCATAGACCGCCAGTCGCATGTGCAAAATGGTGGTTTGGAAAAATATGGGCAAAATGATATAACTCAATGCACCTATTGTGCAAGACGCTTACATTGGAAGTACTCTCCAATACTTCACTTTTGGGGCAAATAAATGGGCCTCATAAGTCGATATTCACAGGAAAACTTCAAGTACACTGCATTATTTTGAATCTGGATGAAATAGTTTATTTTATTTTTGCAATGAAACATTTTTTAAGGTTTTTTTTTTTGCAATAAAAAAAATAGCTTCATAGAATTTTATGACTGGAAATCTTGAGCTTTGAGTAAATTCCCTATACTGAGACATGAATTTATCTAAAGGTTTTATTTTAGTCGGGTGCCGTGCAGATCACGAAATGCTTGTGTACTTTTGAGTACGATCTGGCGGTCTATGCGTTTACATGTCTGAGGCTAAGCTTCAAGCATGGTCAGAACACAGTTCACATGACGCAGTCAAGTATGTGTGTGAAAAACCTCATCACCAATCATAAACCACACGTTGAAGGGCCACATATCATGTCTGCACTTATTCACGTGCGTATGGTGCGAGGTACACATGACTTAATTTATTCTGAATGTGTGTGAGTGTTAGGCTCTGTAAGCAATGCTAATAGAGGGTCCCTTTCAGTGGTCCTTCCCAACTTTCTCCTTGAAACCGTTGAGGGGGTACTTCCGTACTGATTCGATAAAACTGGTTCAGTTCATGAAAGCTGTCTTCTCTGGCCAAATGTCTCTTTCAGTAAACAGAATGAAACCCTGTATGGCTAGCCAAGGTATTTACTATAATGCACTCCTTCACACTGCTGCCATTTCACAGAAAGTTGCAAGGTGCAGACGTAGATGATGTCCACAACAAAAACCTACGGATGTCTTTTCATCAGTTCACTTTCTGAACTTTCCGCTTTTTGCTGTCGCTCTGCGATTCCAGCTCGCTCTCGTAAGCCTCTCGGATAGTCTTGAAGGCCTCCTTGTTGGCGTAAGGAATGTTCGTGATGGGATCCAGGTACATGGCTCGTTGTCTGGTGACCGGACAGAGGGGTTTGGCCGGGGGACGACTCTTGGTCTTGGGGAAGCACGCTATGAAGCTGGCCTCCTCGCTGAAGGTGATGAAGCTTCTTGAGCAGCGTTGGGTGGGTTGTAGTGGCTGCATGTTATCCGAACTGTGGGTACAAGGAAACCAAACGATGCATGTCAATGGACTGATCTTGGGAAATTGTCACTTTTCACGGCACGGGGGAGGGGGTATCCTCCAGATTTCATCGCAAAATTTGATTCGACGATGGTTAGAGGAGTGATCTCAACTTTTCCGAGACAAGCCTACCAAAGTTGGTCACAGCAGTTACTAATGTTCATGTCTATCATTATGTACAGCAGGGTGCAAGGATTGTGAGGTTTTGAGGGCAATATTGACCATAATTCTACTAATTAAGGGGCATTCCTACTTTCATACAAGTACTACTAGGGGGAATGGAACACCACAAATCAACCACAAATCAACCACTAGTTGATCAGTTGTGCTTAATTGAACTTGCCTTGCTGCTGATGTAAACTGGCCAACCCACAACACAGATTTAACGAGGCCTGTCATTGGATGCCCTTGTCATATTTCAACACCAAGAGCCAATCAAGTGATGACATCTGCGGATATGATTTCTTACCCCACTACAGCGTTCTCTTCTCCACTGCTTCTGTTCCTGGCAGCTTTATCCGTGACAACTTCCGGCATCGTCATGGAATGGAACCGGATGAACGGCCCCTTGAAGGCTTTCTTGTGGAACTTGGTCTTCTTCTTTTCGGCTTCCAGTTTGTGATACATTTCTGGAGGGAAAACGAAAAGTGTACTAAGTAGTAAGGTACCATTGACTGGAGTTGAACACTGCCTTTGTGAAATACATGTACAAAGACAATCTGGCGATCAGATGAAGAGGCTATATCTTAGGTGGTACCTTGCTTGTACTCAAGTAGCATGCAATTCGACGGGCGCAGGCACTTTGGCAATCCATTCTGCTATCTTAGTCAGGGCTTATACTTGTGGTTACTTTGTTAGTCTTTCTTAGTTAGACAGGGAAAATTGAAAAATTCCTGAAATAATCAGTGGAGGATTTGAGGGTAACTGAGGTCCCAGAGCGCCATAGGGTTTATGGTATATGTTTGTATTTGCCTAAAGGCACCCCTTAGAATACGCATTTCTCTTGTTCTATAAAGTTTATGGGTAAAAACACCAGTACAGGGTGAGTAAAAAAAAAAAACCCAAATGTCGGGACCATTGTTTTAGTGAAGTTCTGCACGTAGCACTTTCAAAATCTAAGATATAAAAGCCCAATTCATAAGCTTTCTTTTAGTTTAAGAATCATTCAAATCACTCATGTACTTTTCAATTTACAGAGTTTTAAATACAAGAACCGTTTTAAAGTTCTGTCCACGGATCACAAAAAAGGCGTGCGTTCTTTCATCAAAACGAAAACAATTCACACACATCCCTATGTGATTTGTTTTCGTTTTGCTGAAAGAACACTGAACTTTTTTTGTGATCCGTGGACAGAACCTTAAAACGGTGGTTGTGTTTAAAGTGCTACATGCAGAACTTCACTAAACATTTGGGTTTCGTTTTTTTTTAATCACCCTGCATGATAAACCTCAGGAATTCCAGATTTCCACAGGAATTAAAAATTAAAAAAATCCCCAAATCAGGCAAAATCGTGTCAAATCTCACCCCTGATTAAGACTTGAATTCTCAGAAATGTGAGCACTGCCTTTGCCTCAGTTTGGGAAAATCGGCTGTTCTTAAATACTCTGAAATCTTGGAATATGGATGGTTTGTCTATGAACCTACATGTCTTGTATTAGGGAGTACCAGCCTAAGGAATAACTTAGTAACAATGCATTTCCTCCAAAGAAAATACCTTTTTGCCAAAAGGAGAGCTCTAGACGAAATGGCACTGTCAAGGAGAGACTGAAATATGTGGGGTTATTGGTGAGATTCAAGCCTGGAATACCAGAAGAGAATAGTCGATATTAAGCACCACCATGCCAAGTTTAGCGCCTCAACATTATTAAAAAATTCAACGGAATTAATAATACTCACGCAGTGATATAAGGTTCTTCTCCTCCGTCAGTGTCGCCTCCTCAAGCAGCTCTTCCTGTGTCAATCTTCGTACCTCCGGTCTGGAGCGATTGGCAATCGTCATGCGATTGATCTCCGCTCGTTCTTCCCTTTCCTTCAACCGGATCTGAAACTCGGTGCCTTTAATAACGGTTGACCTTCGACTGGACTTACGCACTGTAACGAGGTAAGTGTTGAATATTGAGGACACGATATTCAAGTTGCCTGTCCAATGTGCATTCAAATTCACCTGTGACGGTATTAATCAATATTGCTGGGGTTGGTGGATAAACCAGGGCTTGGGATGGGAGGAGCAGTTATCGTTTTAGGTGTTTGGATGCAAGTTTGTTCATCCGATCCAACCCTGCAACATTCCTAAAGCATGGTCTGCGCACCGAGCGGCCTGTTTCTTGAGGGCGCACTTCACGCTGAGCGGTTTGGCAACAGTAAGAGTAAAAGTAAATTGATTTTTGCTGGTCCCAGAGAGCCAGCCTATACATGTAGTCCTCTTTGTGCCTTTCCTACTGACTGACTGACTGACTCCCCGACTGACTGATTCACTGACTAGTGAAGCCAGCCGGACAGAGCTACTGTGATAAATTTACACCATAAGTGGCTAAATCCAGCCCATTGCATGCACACCAGATGCATGAAAAGACTTCCACTGAACAGCTATCAAAATCAAGAGAATAGAATTTTGTGCACTCTGAAACTGGCTTTACTACGCTTACTTTATCTTGTGTTTTTGCTTGGGGGGGGGGGGGGGTAAGGGTGGGAGGTGAATTTGAAGGATATTTTTTTCTTGAACTCACGGCTGCCTTCGTCCTGTCCAGCAGTCTGCTCAGGTTGTGATGTGACAGCAGGTCGCTTGGACGCTTTCTCCTTTTCCTTGGGCTTTGAAGCTACGACGCTTGGGCGTGGTTGGCTGGGTTTTTTGGCAGCAGGCTTTGTGACTGGCTCCTGTAACAAGACGATCAAGACGCGAGATATTGGCTAACCCTCAACCCACAGGCAATTTGGCTAGATCGTTCCTATGCCTGGTACTTTCCACGGTGCAGAAACTGAACATTCTAAACATGATTAGAATGGCTGGGTCGTAAAGTCCTAAATCCATCCAGATGATGGCAAAATACATTTTTTTTTATTGTTTGCAGGATTTACACGGCTACGGTTGTTGTGTCAGTACATGACAGTGAGCCAATGAGCAAACTTTTCTCACAAATGTTTTCAATGAGCAAGAGTTTGGGTTCACAATTTGAAAAGAACCTCCTAAACTGAAAGGCGTCTTCCTGAAATGACGTCACAGCAACAGCACCCTCAGCTGTCTGGAAAAGCGTGGAATTATTAAAAATGTTTAAAAAAGTGCACTTTTCAGTAAAATTAACCAAAAAGAAGTGTCAAATAGTTTATATACATTTAACCCTAAAGGGGGCCAGGGGGGGGGGGGGGGGGGCGGAATCCGCCCCACCCTCAACATTTTTCGCGATAGCCTCTAAAAAAATTGTTTTCGCAACCCGAGCTGTTATGACTTTTTAGCCTCTGAAGGGCTTTGAAGCTAAGACGCTTGGGCCTGGTTGGCTGGGTTTTTTGGCAGCAGGCTTTGTGACTGGCTCCTGTAACCATGGTAACAAGACGATCAAGACGCGAGATATTGGCTAACCCTCAACCCACAGGCAATTTGGCTAGATCGTTCCTATGCCTGGTACTTTCCACGGTGCAGAAACTGAACATTCTAAACATGATTAGAATGGCTGGGTCGTAAAGTCCTAAATCCATCCAGATGATGGCAAAATACATTTTTTTTTATTGTTTGCAGGATTTACACGGCTACGGTTGTTGTGTCAGTACATGACAGTGAGCCAATGAGCAAACTTTTCTCACAAATGTTTTCAATGAGCAAGAGTTTGGGTTCACAATTTGAAAAGAACCTCCTAAACTGAAAGGCGTCTTCCTGAAATGACGTCACAGCAACAGCACCCTCAGCTGTCTGGAAAAGCGTGGAATTATTAAAAATGTTTAAAAAAGTGCACTTTTCAGTAAAATTAACCAAAAAGAAGTGTCAAATAGTTTATATACATTTAACCCTAAAGGGGGCCGGGGGGGGAAAAAATTGTTTTCGCAACCCGAGCTGTTATGACTTTTTAGCCTCGAGCTTTGCGCATCTTTTGATACCAAAAACATAAAAATCGGACCACAGGTTGGCACGTAGCGAAAAATTTTCCGGCGCTACGCGCCGTGAAAACTGAATTTTCCCACATACGTCGTGTACACCAAGCAGAATTGCCATTCATACATATGAATAATTAATTAGCCATAATTCCAAAACCCTTTGACCTATAGTCATGAAATTTCTTGGGCATGTTGAGGAAGAGTTGCTCTATGGATGTGCTGAGTTTCAAAAATTTTCGTCACTCGATGGCCGAGATCTTAATGGGGGGAATATCCCCCCCCCCCCGGCTGAGAGATGGTAAAAAAAAACCCGGCCCCTTTAGGGTTAAGAGAAGTAGAATGTTGCAACTTGCACAAAGTCTACATTTGTTTCTCATGAACCCATAAATGTCACATTTTCAACTGTATCTCAAACCTGATCAACAATCGTACAAATAATAATTCTCACAAAGGATCAATTTGCAACAGCACTTATAACACATACAAGTAGCAAAAATGATTCAAATCATAAAATGTTACAGGGACAGAACTTTCAATTCAAAATACAATCTTTCGTGGAGGCTAAATCCTACTCCATTGAGAGAATGGTAAAAATAAAGATTGAAAACCCACTACTGGCCAGACATGAGTGGGATACAAACCATCACGTTAGCTCCCTACACTGAATGAGTACTAACCTTATATGCTTTGGTGACCGTTCGTCGCTGTCTTTTCTTTTCGTTTCCCTCATCATCACTGATTACTTCGTCATCTTCTGAATCGCTTATGTCGCTGTCTGTGGCGTCAGAGTCGCTTTCTTCACTGGTATATTCCTCATCCCCAGATTGCTGTTTTGCAAAACAAAAAACAAACAAAAAAGGAATTGAAAGAATCATACCCTGACGTCACTTTGGTGGTTGTATACAAAGTCTAAGTATTTTCTAATATTTCTAACAAAATTGGATATGTTTCTCAGTCACATATTTATGTTTTTTTATATTTTGAGAGTACTGACCAATATTGAGAATATATACTGTATGGTGAAAGAAGTGACGTCGGAATATCGCATTCTTCTCCAAAAAACATACTGAAATATCACCATCATTGAATTATCCTTTGTTTAACACAACAGGGAAAGAATGGGAAAAAATGTTGAAACCTGATGCCACTTTTACGATTGTATACAAAGTCTATGGAGAGACAAGACAATTTTTTAAGTATTTCCTAACAAAATTGGAAATGTTTCTCAGTCCCAGACTCATGTCTTATCATCATTTTTGCAATGAATGACCTTCATTTAGAGGATATATGAAGAAAAAAGCGGCGTCAGGTTGCAACATTTTTTTCCAAAGAATGTTGCATCTTGACGCCAATTTTTTTTATCATCTCAATGAAGGTCAGTCATTGCAAAAATGTTGAAAAGTCATGAATCAGGGACTGAGAAACATTTCCAATTTTGTTAGAAAATACTTTAAAAATGCACTCAACTCTCCCTAAACTTGTACACATCCAGAGAAGTGACGTCTGGATTACTATATTCTTTCCCAAAACAGAACTCTCTCAATTTGTCTGATGATTCACAAGCACAATGTAGGGGTCCTACTAAAGCGCGTCAACAAGCGTCAACAGGCGTCAACAAGCCTCAACGGTCGTCAACGAGCGTCAACAAATTTTGTATAGGCTTTTGAACATTAAAAACAGCTTTATATGGTAGAAAAGCAATAAAAAACATCTTCTGCATATCAATTAAATAAACAATTATTTTAAAACTTGGTTTTTTGAACGCGAAATGTACGACGAATTTGTTGATAAAGTTGGCCGCCATCTTGTTTGGATGGCGCTGTAGACTTCGCGCATGCCTAGTATGGCTCTGTACACTTCACGCATGCGTAGTACGGCTAGCTACACATAAACAAGATGGCGGCCAACTTTTATCGACAAATTCGTCAAACATTTCGCGTTCAAAAAACCAAGTTTTAAAATAATTTTAACTTTAATTGATATGCAGAAGATGTTCTTTATTGCTTTTTCTACCATATAAAGCTGTTTTTAATGTTCAAAAGCCTATATAAAATTTGTTGACGCTCGTTGACGACCGTTGAGGCTTGTTGACGCTTGTTGACGCGCTTGAGTAGGACCGCAATGTAGCACCTCTTCAAATCCTCCGTAGGTTGTTTTGTAGAACTCGTCTTGTTCCTCCTCCTGCAACATCCGAGACATGCGATTGCCCGCAGTGACTCGCTTCTCTCTGGTCAGAGCGAGCGCCATGGTGACAAGGATTTCAAGACTGTCCAAGATTCAAACAAGGAATACCAATTCCACTTGGGTTGGCTAGCACCTAAAAAAGAGAGAAAACAAGATGATTATTTGACTAAGAATGGAACAATAATTTAATACACGAATTACTCTGCCCCTTTTTCCTTCCCTACTTTGTAACTTTTGTGCACCCTCGTTTTTGTGTTAAAAAACCAACACACATCAGATACACTGGTCACTGCATACAAACAATGACAGACATGACAGAGATGTCACTCAGTCATGTCAGTGTTGCATCGGGACGCCACTTTTTTTCATCATATATTATTTCAATCAATGAAGGTCTGTAAGCCTAATTGAAAAAATGTGAAGAGATATGAATCTGTGACTGAGTCTCTCAGTCTCACTCTCTGAGAAGCATTTCGAATTTTGTTACAGTTAGAAAATCCTTTGAAAAATGCACACAACTAGAACTACACTCGCTTTACGCTACTCTCCATAGACCATGATAGACCATAGCATTAGCTACTCCTAGAACCATGAGGCTCCACGTGGAGCCTCATACTGTCATAGTTCTAGGAGTAAGCATTAGCATTAGGCCCTAGTACTTTTTTTGTAGTAGACTTTGTAAAAAAAAGAAGAAGTGGCGTCAAATCGCGTCAGGATACTACATTCTTTCCTATTCCACTAATGCTGTATATAGTGTGTGGTGTATTCATGACTCAATTATTTAATTACACTTACATTAATCAAAGAAATTACAAACCGTCGTCCAATGTCGAGAATTTTCCTAAACTAGTACATGTAGTAAGGGTAAAGCCGCTTTTCAAAGTTTCCTCAATAAAAATCATGTGGCTGAATGAATGTTGTAGCGCCATCAACGGTCAGAAAAAGAGCACCAGCGTTTATATTTTGCAGGAATCGCTCCAAGCTGTGAATGGTTTCACCAAAAGCGACGCGATTAAAGTTTAGAGAGTCTCTTGTCACTTGAATTTCTTGTCACTTGATTTCATGTTCAATGGCCAAATGGTGCACTATAGCATTTTGTGAATAACATTGTTCAGTAGACAGGCACATTTAGTTGACGTCAAGTAAAGTTAAAGCCACTGTGAACATGTCTTGTTAACAAGACAGGAATATTGATTTTTACATAGCAACAGACTTTTGCAAGTTTAGCAAATAAGCTGAGTAAAATGCAGCCAATCAAATTGCTTGAAAAATTGAAGCATTCCTGAGAATCCTGACTGAGATCGCGGCCACGTCTAGCGTCTAGCGGAAACTGATGAAACTCGACTTGAAAAAATACCGATAATATAATAATATCTTCTTTCTACCAATACCAGGTTTATTGTAAGTGGTGTATATAAAGAGCTAAATGTACATGTTAAACAAGCCATGTTTTGCTTTATATTTTTGCGAGCGTTTAATGCAAAATCTAGGTCTTACATGTCTTAAAAACCTGTAAAATTTCACAATCACAACAATGCTAATGCCATGGAATGCAATGCCAATGCAATGGGGGAGACTTTTCATTTGAGACGTTGGTGGCAGCAAATACACCTAGTCCTTTTCAATTGTTTACGTCATATTTAAGCCAAAGACACAAACTATGTTAAAAATGGCATTTGCTTTAAGTTACCCGGACTTGAACAGGCCTACGTCAGTTTCTGACAAAAAAATAAAGGTTTTTTTTTTGGGGGGGGTAAAGATATTTTTCGGTTTATTTTTTCCAAAACCTATTTGCCATGTACAAATGATGTAGGCCTGGGTTGGGGACCTGCCCCTAAATCTAGCGACGTCGCTTGATTCATGCGCTGTGCCATATAATGGAAAGCCTGCATAGTCTGTGGAGTCAAGGACAATGCGACCGCAAGATTTGCGCGTATAAGGAACCATTGCGACATCGGCAATACACGTGTGTATATCTTGAAAATCGAGACACGAATCATACAATCTAATCCACGAAATCAATGAAGACATTGAACATCAACATTTATAAATTATATTCAAACTGTAAGTTGAGCCCATTTTACATTTTTTGCGCTAAACATAGATTTGTCGGCTGAACCCATGGCTGAACTCGCTAAGGTAGTAATTGGGTGAAAAGAATGACGTCATCCTACTGAAGAATGAAGTCATTATCGCTTGATCAAGCGGCTGTTGTACAATCTAGCGACGTCGCTAGTTAAATTAGCGCTGGTCCCCGAGCCGACCTGATGTAGGCCTATCACTGATACACAGCAAAATCATGATGTCTAAATTCTGTATTTTTCACTGACAATTTTGCGGTTTTGTTTTTGCTTTTGATTTTGAATTTTCCAGGAGGACGTCTTGAAGGAATCGGCGGCAGAGGATTCCCGCATATAAGTCTCACGATGGCTACCGCTATGCCCGTCCCAAAGATAGTGCTGAAAAGCACTACCAAACAAACACTCAATGATCGGTGAGGGAAGACACATGATAAAAAAATAACCATTGCCCTTGAAAACGCCTCGCCCACCCAAGGGTGTCTGGCAAGAAATGTCTCCCTTAGGCAGAATGCAGTGTCAAACGTGTTCACCAGATCCTTTTCAGTTGCATAAAAAGCATTCTGCCTTGAGTGTGATACTCTTTATAAAACCGCACCAGGAGTATGGGATGTTATAGGCCTATGCAAGTCTCTGCTCAGTAAATACGAGTTGTGTTTTCCAATTTGCAAATGTTGGTGCGGTGTTAACGACCGTAATTATCACACAATAGAAAACCAAAATGCATGCCTCAGTTGACATGATTTTGATTTTCAAAATCAAAGGACAAATAATTCTTTGACGACTTGTCCAATAAAAAATTGAAAATTATTTCCCTCTGAAATCTTTATAATGAAAAAGTCAGCATCGGATTCAGAGAGTGCTGTTTTATAGCAAATGCTGAAGGCATGAATGTTATTGGAAGTATGCGAAGAGGAGACATTTGCGCTGAGATTAAATACAAATGAGCAGAATTTATACATGTGTACATGTATGGCAAAGCCATGTGATTAAAACATTGACATGACATTGGCACTTGCACCAGTTTCGTACGATGCCAGTCATTCTGCTACATGTACGTATTTGCAGAAATATGTATTTAGAAACACAACATGGCTCAGTCCACTGTGACTGAATCCGAAAGCTCATTTGTAAACATGGAGAGATCGCTATCTCACTGCAGTTAATATCTACTAACAAAGCAGTGTGGTCTCCAACGGAGACGATAACAAATGACGAAAGAATGTGATTTATACCGATGAGTGTTTTGAAATGCATGTATTGTTATAATTGATGAAATAATTATTGGCAATGGTGTATTATTCTGTGGAGAGGATCGGTCTGTGTTACAGCCAGCAATGCCCAATCACGGTGTGCCCTGTGTGTCCTGAGAGTCCGGGGCCAGACTGTGAGTGTAAGCGGCAGTTCTGGGTTTTCTTTTCTCTCTGTCTTTGATTTCAGTCCTTGTTGTCCGCGGTCTTGGTGATATCTTGAATTACTCTGAGACCGGTAAGCGGCAACAGGCTGATGAATAATCGTTGTCGAGTGGCATTTGCACAATTTTTCTGTTCCTTCATGTACATGTGTGACATTCCTGTCCGTTCTTCTCAGGGTCATCTCTTTTTTTTTGGAATAGTTGTAGCTTTCAATCACAGTTAGAATAATCCAACTTAGAATTCTGTGTTAGACTCTCCTCTGTACATGTTCTCACTGCAAGAGTAGAAAAAAAGATCACAGTGATACAAATTATTTTCTCAACACTATAGGTATAAAGATAATCCAGATTTAGATGTCATGAAATTACATTCTATATAATATGTCAAGGACATTGATACCTTACACTTGATATACCTGACTTCTTCACGGTCAAAACTTTTGAAATACATTCCATTTAGTTTTTCTTTTTTTCAATTTATTCATTTCCTTCATTTTCCTATGAATATTAGACTGGAAATCACTTGGTATCAACCATACAAATGTATTGCATTACACTTTCACCTAAACTCTCTGCATAATTTTCTTATAGCCCATCAATTTTTGTTATTGTGGTTAAACATTTTAGCTAGGTTTTTTATCTGAAGTTTTGCTGAATTAAATTTAGAGAAAGATCCCAAAATACCACTTCATATTGCACAAACTTTTGTTTTTCCCTCCAGAAGTATAAGGATGCTTAAGCATCAATCCAAAATTGTTTATTCTTTATTTACTTTCTTATTGTCACACTCTGTGACTGACAGTCTTTCCTCTCTAAAGTGATGACACTCCTTTGTCATCCACACACGGCCGCATCCTCTCCCAAGAATCAATCAAATGTTGAACGACGAAAAGAAACATGCAACCCTCGTGAAAACCTCTTCCCCTCAACAACTTCCCCACCAACCCACCTCCTCCCCCCATCCAAAGATTCACCAAGATCATCAAGAACCGACCCACGGTGACCGCCCAGCAGCGGACGGAGACCATGATCCAACAGCAGCAGGTGTCGGCAGCCAACAGGAGACTAGCCATGCAGATGGAGAACAGGATGACCGTCCAGGCGGCCTTGCAGCCCCCCAGGCAACCCGGCAGGCAGGTATGATTTGCGTCAGGCATATCCCTCCCATATCCTTGATAATCCTTCGGGCGATCGCAGCGATATGAAAGAAAATGTAATGACCACGACACGGCCAAGTAACCATAATATCTAATGAATGATTCAGAGAATTTAAAGATCCAAAACTCCTAGTCTGTATTGCAGATTAAATCTCCTTGCCCATTACTAGATGATAGATCTATACACTTAAACAATTACATTTTCAAGTTAATTCACTGAAGTCTTATAAAAGCTCTGTCATGGCATTACTTAATGCTGGAGATTTCGTTGGAATCCATTGAGCAATTTTGGAGGATTTTACAGTATTAACCCTATCCCTGCCAAAGCGTGCAACACGGTGCATCAGATGGGACCGTGCTACATTGGGCTGTGGGTTCTATGCGCAAACAAGAGAGGATGCTGTTTTATCACATTTGATAGCCCAGTGGTTTGGGTACACCCTGTGTATAGCATGGAGTACGCAGGACTAATTATATTCTAAGTGTGCGCAAAGCCATAACGTCTTGGGTGAGCAAAATGCTTCTAGGGGGTTGATTTTAATGGGAAGGAAAAGAGCATGGTGGAGTTGTGTACAGCAGTGGTCAGCTTGAGCTGAGTTCATCTCTTGGTCAATTTATTTAACAAATTTTATAGGCCATTTATACACAGGATTTTGTCAAAATCAAGATTTCTCAAGACCCGACAGACTTTCTCTTCCTGGTACATGTGTGATGATGTCATATGATGTCATGTTAAAATCAACACTTGTCGCATTTTTAAAAAGACAGCAGATATTTCAGGGGACACATTTGTTCTGTACATGCCATTTAATTGACCAAACATACATCATAGCACAAGTTTTTTTTTATTAGATGCATTGCAGTGATTCATCAGTATTTTAGTGTTTCATTAAAGATAACATTTTACTGGTGCTGATTTTCACATCCCAAACACAGTCACTGAAGCAGCGTCTAGGCCAGCCCAGTATCCAGGGTCGTCTAGGCTCCCCAACGGGCCAGAGGGGACAGGGGAGGCAACGAGGGGGTCGAGGCAGGGGCTTCAGGGGTGCAGTCTTCACTCGTGGCGGCAGGGGCGTGGGGAGAGCCATCGGAGCCAGAGGCGGAGTCAACAGAGGGGGGATGGCCATGCGGTCTAGAGGGCGTGGAGGACTGCGCGGAGCTCGGGGTGGACCGATGGGACGAGGCGGACAGATGGGGCGAGGCGGACGCGGTGCTGCCAGGGGACAGATGACCGGAAGGGGGCGAGGCATGCAGAGGGGTGGTAGAGGAGGTATGAGAGGTGGGTATGCATTAACCCTAACCCTGCCAGACGCAACACAGTGCATCAGGTGGCAAAGAACTGGTGCACTTTGATGCATTCAGCTACCACCACCAGTGCATAAATGGCCAGCTCAGAAACAGTGAGAGCTAATTCACATTGAACAATGCCACAGTTGGATCCTGCTGCGTGCTGTGACCACAAACTCTGAGGCAGTGTGGCCTTGAGACTTAAGATTCCCCTGATGGATTTTGCTACATTTGGCAGACTTGTCACTTTAAGTGTTGCATGGTGCTACGTTTGGCAGGGTTCTTACAAACATACCCTGGAGGGTTAGGGTTAAGCAGCATTTAGAATCCGTCACACCAAACTCCCTCTTGTTTTAGCATTGATTTATAGTCATTTTTCTAAGAGAACTCTTAAAATTAAACTTTCTTCCAGTGTTTACAATCATACCTTTATGTATGTTAGCTTTTGGAAAGATGAACTGAATGATGTAGACTTACCATTCCCGTTGCCTTTTCAATGTGCCCATGATTGTATAAGAACAGGGAGAAAATGCTAATGTTCAGCTTGCCAAAGTCGGATAATTTTAACTTCCTTTCAGAAGCAATCCCTCATTTGTTGCATCCTCTCAGACTTTTCCCGATCCTGTGATGGTCGGATCAGACTGACCAAAATAGAAGTTCATTCATCTGGTGCTCCTTAGAATCCTACTTGCCTTGTGTTTCACGTGATGGTTTGGCAAGCTCGTCCCAGATCTTAACTCCACCTAATCATTCTCCAATCTCCATTTGTAGGTGTCCGAGGTCGTGGGGCAGGCCAGCAGCAGGTCCGAGGCGGTAGAGGGCGTGGTCTCGGGCGTGGCCGCGGGCGTGGACGGGGCCGCGGCCGTGGTCGTGGAGCAGCCGCACCAGTCCAGCTGAACAAGGAGGAGCTAGACAACCAGTTGGACGATTACATGTCCAAGACAAAAACGGGATTGGATGCCGAGCTGGATGCGTACATGGCCGACGCCGACATGGAATGAAAGAAAAAAATGAGATAATGTTAAAGGACAATCCCTTTCGCCAGTGATGTAGTCAAATCCTTTACTTAAGTCAGACAGTTATACTGAAATACAAGGTGGTTTTATAGTAGGAATGAAACTTGAGAAACAAGAAAGTGTGGTCTGAGTACTTGGGACTTGTATTTCAGGAAGGAATCTGACTTATTTGGAAAAAAATGTTGGAAATGTGTCAGTATTTTCAAAAGGACTCGGACTCAATCATCCATTTTTTGCATTTTCAGAATATAACTCGTTTGGCAAATATTAGCTTTCAGAGAACGCAGCTTGATACTTATGCTCGATTCCGCTCTCATAATAAATTTCAGTGTAGACCAATCTTGACACACAATCACTGTTCACTCGTAAAGGTCCCAAGTAAAGCATAGTGTTATCTGCTGCCATTAATGGGATCCTCTGTGAGTGTACAATAATCACATGCCCAGATAGGTGTATACCTCATAACTCGGGAAAAGGCTTTGACTACAACACTGTCTGACTGTAGCTATTATTGTTTGGTTCCTTGAACTTGAAGGCAATGTATAATAACATATTGGAATTGGTTGGCGAAACTCTTCAGAGGTACATTTCTAGATGAAAGTCTGAGCTATTTGATATTGCCGAAAAGCATTTAAAAAAAAAAAGTTTGCCTTTTTTTCATATACATGTATCTCTTTTACTTGTTCCATCCTGCATCGTGACCTATCAGGGTTCAGTGTTTCATAGTTGTTAATGTGAATATGTGTAAATTGCTGTGCAGAACTAGGCTTCCACTGTTATGTTTGTACTCACAATATTACATTTTTTAATTTGGTCTTTTGTATTGGTCCTTAGTTAAAGATGACAGATATGTAATGTTTGTCTGAATGATGGTTTTATATGAAACCTCAAACAAAGCTACCTAACTTGTAACAGTAGATGTATTTGTCCTTTGTTATAAATGGTATGAACGTAGAGAGAAGTCACTGCGTTTCTTACTGAAAACGACCATTTTCATGGTTTAAAGAGAAAGCATTTTATACAGATTGAAGTTATCTTGAATTTTTACAAGGTTTTTTTTTTATCAGCATCTTTTCTACAATTTGCTCTCAAAAAGAATTTCTGACAACCTAAATAAGTAGATCTTTCGAAACTCATTCCTTTTTGTGGAACTGTTCGCATTATTTAAGCATTCAATTTTTAATGTAAATATTTTCTGGAATTTTTCTTTCATTATTTGCGTGTGTTTGTATACAATTTTGAGTGTGCAATAGTGATGCACTGTAATGTCTGTCTTTTTGTAGGTTTCAAATTCTGTAAACAATTTTAGTTGCTTCCAAGTTGTCTTGCGTACTTCCATAATCCCTTGAATCTTGAAACTATAAAGACAGCATTATTTGAGCCAGGAGCTGTGTTTCAAAGTGAAGCAGAAGATAATTAAGAAACAAAACGTCCACATTTACCAGCATTGTGTATAATGAAGACAATGTGAGCTCTGAAAGTATTCAATCTCTAGTTAGACAAAATGCCTGAATTTGACACATTGGTGCCCATATTTTGGCAGGTCTAGACTCCTGCAAACCATTGCGCAGATTTCAGGTATTTGGTCTAAGAAATAGAAATGTTATCCTCGTTGGGGTTCGCAGTGAAAAGGTTTTATAAACAACTGGTTAAGTAAAATTACATGAAGAATCACTTGGAACAATTTGAAATGAAAAATAAAAATTAAGTGCCGCTTTGGAAGCCCAGTCAAGCATCTTCGGTTTATTTATTTGTTTTTCCTGATAGGATTAGAATATAAGGAATACACACATTTTAATAGTTTGTGAAGTATTTTTGTGTTCAGATTCAGTGACATTGACAGTACAAATTATCTTCTATTGCCTTGTGACATTGCCTGAGGGAAAAGCCCAGGAACTGAAGGGAAAAAAACAACATAATGAGGTAGATGGCGAAAACGTGGGTTGAAGGTTGTTCATGGCTCATTTACCCTCGATGAAATGCCAACGTAGACAAGCCATTTCTCACGTTCACCGACCGGTCTAATGACTGGATTTTTCCATTGCATCACACTAGTCGTGCGGTAGGCAACAGCGATCCATCTGTCGCCTTTATAAATGATTGATGATAATGGCGCGCTATACTATAGGTCGTTGGTCGTGCGGACTCGGTGTATTTGTGTTTTGTCTGGTCTGTCTGTAAGTGCAAAGGGCAACCTCTCATAATATTTTAGGTCTTCTTGTCATACCGTCCTATTCTTTCTGACTGGTTTTCGTATGCATATATGTGCATATATGTAATTAAAAGCTCTTTTTTCGGTCCTACATTTGAGGCATGTTTCTTGTTAAGCGCTCCATTTGGCTGTAAGAAAAGAAAACGTCGGGAACATGTGGTGGAGAAATGGAAAATTAAGATCTTCAATATTAGTTTTCCATTTTAGGCTAAATAAGGGAACAGAAAAGTTTGGGATTTAATAGGAACCCATCTGCTATGATGGGATGAACTCATCGCAGGCTTACGTGATTTTCATCTTGATTTTTTTTTACATGCACTGTAAATAAAAGAAAGATTTTGTTTCCGTAAAAACTTACAATAAAATAACGATATATGTACGTGACATTTAAAAAAAAAAAACACAACGAAATTCAACTGTCTAATATTTTTTTTTAAATGGTCATGAACTGCATTTACACCGTGCAAAATAATGGAAAAAGTAAAACTAGTCTATAGTCGGGTTCCTAGAAATTACAGCACTCGCGCGCATTGCATCATGTATTTGGTCTTCTAGAAATTACAGCACTCGCGCGCATTGCATCATGTATTTGACCCGGAGCGCGAGCAAGACCAATATATTCATCGAAATCGCGCGTTGACGCGAATGGTGGCACTAGTGACAGGTGTATTTAATTTTGAAAATACATTCGAATTTCGGGTTTTCTACATTTTGAGCGAGTCTAAACATGCTGAAAGTGACAGTAAAACAGGCCTCGCTGCTCTCTGCGAATAATTTGGTTTACGTGTGGCCACGTTGCTTTGGTTTAGCTGTCCATTCATCGAGCGACTCTTTCCCCTCAGCACCGCGGAGACCGAAAGTCTCACCGCGTCTGGCAGCGGTGCCCTGCCGTCCATTCTCGCTGATTGCAGGCGGGTCGTCGGGGTCGTGCACGGCAGGGTTTGCCTTGACCCGTGCAGTTGGTAGCAATGTTGTCTTGAATCCGTTCAACGTAACAAACCCCACAACACATCAGAAGGTTGGTTCGTATTTAAAAAAGGACAATCAGGGACAATGGTTTAGTTTAAAAGTGCATTTTTGCAGACATTTAGAAGGAAAGAAACTGATAAATTATAATTTGTTGTGCCATAACAACTTTACATATACAACGCTTGTACCATGTTTGTACTTAGTTGTAGACGTGTATGAATGTAAAAGCATCCCCCTTTTTTCGTTATTTATTAAATATTGACATGTCACTTGTCAGTATAAAATGTGCTCTCTTTTTCAATGAATTTTAAAAAGATAGTGGATATTTTGCCGGAGGTAATGACGGCAAACTAACGTTTACTAAAGGTTTGCCGGCGGCAATTCATATCAACAGAGGGCGCTGTACTCTTTAAGATAGGGCTGAATTATAAGATGTATTAAATCCCCCAAAAGTTGTGTAGCAATAGCATGTTTGGTGTAGTGGTTATGCAAAGGCTCAAGTAAGCGGGATGACTCGGGTTCGATTCCGACCGCAGCACATTTTAAAGGTTTTTTTTCTCATCCCCAAATAAATAAGAATATTCTTCTTTTATTATTTTAACATGTCTCAACCATTTTTTTGCAGAGTATTACATTTACTTTTTCAGATTTGTGACTCTGGAGGATTTTTTTAAAAAGGGAAATAAAGTCCGAAATTATAAAATGGTCTGAATCCCATCTTGTGAATATGAGGTTACAACGATAATTTTGGCATGGAGCCAGACTAAAATTTGTCACCGGAAAATGTTTAAGTACAAAAAAACAGTAACTGCGCATGTTCAGTGCATATCCGGCAAACTAACGTTTACTAAAGGTTTGCCGTCTCCGGCAAAAAATACACTGCCTTTTCAAAAACATATATAACCTTTGCTTTGACACTCTCCAAAACACTTCAATATTTGCACATTTTGCATGTAAAGTCAATGGCCTGCAAGAGATCAGGGTGGATATTACTTCTAAAAATAAATACAATCATGCATTCACCCTCTCGACTTGTAATCTTGCTTTTTGAGTGGGGAGGAGAGGTTGAAGATAGATCTGCCACTGTACTGCCTCAATCCATATGTTCCTTCCTCCATGCTCAATCAAAGAACAGAAGAAAAAATGTTGATTAACTTGAACACGTGTAACTTTTTTTTCCTTGAGTAAAAAAAAGTTAACTGATACTGAAATTAAATTAATGTTGGTTTGTTTATAATTGTTATGGGAAAAAATAGATACAGTCACTCAGCACTGCCTCACAACAGGATGAAAAGGTTCGAGTTGACATGCCAGCTGAAGATGACAAGAAAGAAGCAAAGAAACATGCACCACACTTCAGGTAAAGTTTGTGAAAAAAGCTAGGGACTGATGTACCCCCCCCCCCCCCACAACACCCCCACTGCACCCCCCCCCCCCCCCACGTGCCCACCTGTATTTGCCTTTTAACCCCAACTACCAGAAAACACTAAGACCCAGTGTCAGCTACTTAGAATAAATCATCGTGAGCAGCTTTACAACATATCAGCAGAAATGGAGCTGAGAACCAGGGCCCAATTTCACGGCGCTGCTAAGCACAAAAATTTGCTTAGCACAAAAAAGTCTGGCTTATAAAAGCAGGTTACTAGCCAAAACTCCATGTGATTTTCATGCTAAGCAAACAACAGCCGAATACTAAACACGAGCAATGTACATCACGTGGAGTTTTGGCTAGCAACCTGCTTTTATAAGCCAGACTTTTTTTGTGCTAAGCATTTTTTTGTGCTTAGCAGCACCGTGAAATTGGGCACAGGCCCATTTAGAATATTTTGTCATTAGTTTTAGTAGGTTTTATTTTTAATGAGCGGGAATCGTATTGAGATGTTTTGCCATGATTTTTTGTTTTCTCATACTTTTTTTTTTTTACATAATTTTGTGTGTTGCAGAATAGCATTAAAGAAGCAGCCAGAGTTTTCTGGAGATGAGATGTCCCATCCTAAGGCAACAACAGATGACAGCAAGGAAGGGGAGGACGATAGACAATATCTGCTCGCTCATCCTATATGGTAAGTTTCCGGTCAAGATTTGTAGCAAAAACAACAAATTGATACAGAGTCCATCACAAGTCCATTCCAAGTTCACTCAGGGGTTAACGGGATGAAAGGAATGCTTTTGTCATAGTTCATTTTAAATAGCATGCCATGTATGGCTTGAGAAAGCAGGCCCAAGTGATGAACTCGTTATGGACTTGTGATGGACTTGTGAGGACTTGGGATGGACTTTTGAGGACTTGCGATGGACTTGTGAGAGGACTTGAGATGGACTTGTGTGGACTTGAAATGGATTTGTGAGGACTGTGAGGACTTGGGATGGACGTCTTGTGAGGACTTGGGATGGACTTGTGAGGACTTGTTAGGACTTGCAAGGACTTGCAAGGACTTGGGATAGATTTGTGAGGACTTGGGTTAGAATGTGAGGACTTTGGATGGACTTGTGAGGACTTGTGAGGACTTGGGTTGGACTGTGAGGACTTGGGATGGACTTGCGAGGACTTGTGAGGACTTGTGATGGACTTGTGAGGACTTGGGAATTGGGATGGACTTGCAAGGACTTGTGAGAACTTGTTAGGACTTGTGATGGACTTGACTACAGTAACTCAAATTGAACATATAGACCACTCATCAACCACCCACTGTGCACGTGGGGAAAAAACCAACATGCTCATCTCCAATGCCACACTGCATGTTCCAGGTGAGTGCATCACACACAAGTGCACGCATGTCGGACATTATTCAAGGCTGTGATTGGTCTATAACATCACTAGGTGGGGCTTAATGACTCAGAGATTTGTTGTTTGATTCCATCTTTCCCATCAATCTGGCAGGTCAGACAAGGAACTGGATAGCGTGGAGATAACCCACAAACCGCCAAAAGGCTTTGCTGATTGGGTGAGTCTTATTATTGATCGGAGTGTCGTATTGGGTTGAAGTTCCAACATGCATGTCAAGTAGATAAGGCAAGCGAGCAGGGATCAATTTCATGTGCTGTTGTACACAGAGATATGCAAGGTACAAAAATGTTGCTCAAACACAGGTAACTGGCCAAAATGTCAAGTGATGTATCTTGCTAATGACCTGTTCTCACTTTATTTGCATATCGATTGCCAACTAACTAGCAGCTCCTTGAAGTGTCGCCCAGTTTCCACAAGGACCTAGAGATTTTCTCAGCAAATTCTTTTTCCTTTTAAATTTGCAAGTTATAGAAACATGAGAACTGTGTGGCATAAAAGAAGGACGTCATACTTTATAAAACAAGGCCTTGGAGGCCACTTGTTGTAAAATTGGGCAATAAAACTGTGTCTGTGTTTCTTTCCCCTGATCATGTTGTCTGGTTCTTTGTGCATGCTTTCAGTTTGCGTACAGCTGTGTGCAGACCCTCCGCTTCAGTTTTGACTTGTTTTCTGGCTATAAGCGGGGAGATAGGACAGAGCAGAAATGGCTCATGTAAGTATATGCTGAATATATCCTCAAATACTCTTTCTGTAAATTGAGATGGATCAGAAAATTGCTGTCGTGTTTTTTTTTTGCTTTAACCAGAGGGCCAGACTGTTCCTGTCTCACTGATGGACTGACTGACCGACTGACTTAACTGAATGACTTACTCCCCGAATTTCTGACTGACTTTACCGACTGACCACCAATTGTGGCCGGGCAGTTTGACATGTTTCATATTGGACCAATGCATACATGTAAGTACTCCCTCAACGGTAAGAAAGGGAGAGTTGGGGGAGACCACTGGGATAGCACTTCGAACACGTTGCCGACAACACCTGATGCTCACGCGAAGACACAAATGTTTACATTACATACCTAGTGTGGGCATTCCTTTGTTTTCGGGTAGTTAAGAAAAACCTGTAAAAAACTCATTTTACTCACACTGTGAAAACTCTTTCAACCCAAATTTTTTTCTATGATTCCCTTAAGTGTTTCTCTTCATTTTGTGACGGATAAACCTAACCCCAAAATGCTTCTAAACCTGTTTTCCAGAGAGTCCACACAACATATCTGAAAACTGGTTTATGTGGACATCTTTTGTTTGGAAGTCCACACGGTGAGTGTAATGTTTGTACTCTATGGCATTGTGGACATTGAGAATACAATAAGTTTTGCATACTGCGTGACACCAAGGAATGGGCTATTGTCTTTTCAGTCGTATTATCTTCCTGGAGACTGTTGCTGGAGTGCCAGGGATGGTAGCTGCCATGACAAGACATCTGCGTTCACTGAGGAGAATGCAAAGAGACTTTGGATGGATACACACACTGCTTGGTAATTGACCCCCTTTGGTTTAACCCCTTAAGTACGGGGTGTAATGGGGACATTCCTCCACACATAGAGCAAGTGGCCCGCATGACTGCACAGCCTTTGTATGGTAGCGGGACTGCACAAAAGCAGCAGCTGTGGAACTACCCACTAGCAGTGTGCCATGGCATACCACAGCTGGCAACTGCATTCCAATGAGGATTAGCGGCCGCGGCCATGACCGCTTCCCGTACGCATGGGGTTAAAAAAAAAATGAATTACAACAGTGACATGTAAGCCTAACCAAGATCGACGAGAAGTAGAGCGAGTATTTGACCTGTTATTTCTTCTTGCTCTACTGACTCTTTTTGTTGTCGACAGAGGAGGCAGAGAACGAGAGAATGCATCTGATGACTGCCCTGGAGCTCAGGAAACCGGGCAAGCTGTTCACGATGGGCGTGCTTCTCACGCAGGGTGAGTAGGGTCTCGGCCAGACTCGGTGCCTTCTCCTGGAAGGGTTTGCGGTCACATAAAGGGCGGAATGATTGACTTGTGTCGGATGAGTCTGCCCTGTCCACAAATGTCACACGCGGTACCCACGGGAAATGTTTAAATTAGTGTACCTAACTAGCATATATACACATTTTGTGTAAGAGGAAAGTACTAGAGCACATGTGCATGATGGATTCACTAAAGGCTGAAATCGTTGTCTGTTTTGCATTTTAGGATCTGCAGTGCACAGAGTCAAGATTGTGCAAAGTTCTTACACCAAGAAACAAAATATTGACCGTATGACCTATCTTACACCTGCAATTTGCACCAGCAAATTGATGTAAATGTCACCTGTAGGGCAATTCCGTAAATTCAGACGTACATGTCAAGACAGTTTTATGAGCTTCTGGTTGGTAGTGTAAATGTGTTACATTACTAATGTGTGACATCTAATGAGCAGAAAACGATAACAGGCCAAACAAATGTGCTACCACCCTAACGTCTTTGTAAAATCGTGTCTTGGGACGTACAAAAAGAGCTTGAATTTACGAAATTGCCCTGGAGTCAATGCGTGTTTATTCACAGCTCCATGCCTCAATAAATGATCTAATTGAGCATGTTATTCCAAGCGAATGCTTCTGTATTTGTCCCTATTTTTCCAGGGCTCTTTGTGAATATGTTCTTCTTGGCCTACATATGCAGTCCCCGGTTCTGCCATCGGTTTGTGGGTTACCTGGAGGAAGAAGCCGTCATAACATACACAAAACTCATCCAGGTAGTTGAAGTGAAAAGTTTTTCTGTCCGTTCGTACCTCTGTTAGAATGTCTACTTGTCCGAACTTGGCGATGGAAGTTACAATTTTGTTGGGTTTAGCATTGAGCAGTCTGAACACCAAATCACTGTGGAGTCCATGTCCATTAATGTTGAAAGCAAGTACTGGTGAAAGAAATCAGAGATTTCTAAATCCAGTTGTCCTAACTTTTTTTCAAATCAAATAACGGGTATCCAATTTCCCTGGAAGCTCCCATTCATGCCAAGCAGACCACTGGGCCTTTACAAAAACACTCCATTGATGGGAATTCTCGGACCCATCAAATAGGCAGGCTAATGAGTACTGCGAGGCATGCAAGAAAACAATGGTGGGTTAGGTTTATGCCCAAATCCGTAATAGTTCATTGGTTGGTTGATGCGGTTGATGTACTCAATTTGACTGGCGCTTATTTTTGGTTAATTTTAGGACCTGGATGACGGAAAACTGTCCGTTTGGGGAAACATGGCTGCACCAGACCTTGCCATTAGATACTGGAAAATGAAGGTTAGTCAAGCTGCTGTATTCATAATGGACCGATCCAGTAAGCCCCGCCCACAACGCACTGGGCAAATTAACACGTGCTCCTGCACGCATGTCGGACTTTAGTGCACGCACGTCGGACACAAATCACGGCTGTGATTGGTCAGAACACCATGGGGCGGTGCTTACTGGATCGGTCCATTATTCGTGAGTACTTATGTAGTAAGCATTCTGTGATTCAGTCAGTCAGTGATTCAGTCAGGGATCGTCGGGGAGTGACTCAGTCAGTCAATGAATCAGTCGGGGAGTGACTCTGAGTCAGTCAGTGACTCAGTCAGTCCATGAATCAGTCTGTCAGTGACTGAGTCAGTCAATGACTCAGTCAGTCAGTGACTCAGTCACTCAGTGACTCAGTGACAGTCAGTCGGTGACTCAGTATGTCCGTCACTCAGTCAGTCAATGACTAAGTGACTCGGTCAATAATTCAGTCACTCAGTGACTCGGTCTTTCAGTCACTCAGTCAGTCAGTGACTCAGTCACTCCCCGACTCGGTGACTGAGTCAGTCAATGAATCAGTCGGGGAGTGGGGGAGTCAGTCAGTGGGGGAGTCAGTCAGTTACTCCCCGGGAGTCAGTCAGTGACTCAGTTATTGAGTATGTCCGTCACTCAGTCAGTCAATGACTAAGTGACTCGGTCAATAATTCAGTCAGTCAGTGACTCAGTCAGTGACTCAGTCACTCAGTCACTCAGTGACTGGGGGAGTGACTCAGTATGTCCGTCACTCAGTCAGTCAATGACTAAGTGACTCGGTCAATAATTCAGTCAGTCAGTGACTCAGTCAGTGACTTGGTCTTTCAGTCACTCAGTCAGTCAATGACTCAGTGACTCAGTGACTCAGTAATTCAGTGACTCAGTCAGTGACTCAGGGAGTGACTCAGTCAGTCAGAGAACACTAGGGTGGTTACTTGGGTCCGGCAAAACAGTGATGCTCTCCCTTTGATGAGATCAATCTGAAGCCCATCGTTATTTCATATTTGTAGCCCGATGCCATGATGCGTGACATGATCCTAGCCATCCGAGCCGACGAGGCGCATCACAGAGAAGTCAATCACTCACTGAGTGATCTCAAGCCAGATGAGAGTAATCCCTTCCCACCTGGACAGTGAAGGGAGGGATTAAGGTAATCCTCCCAAATCCGATTACTTTGGAACATACCATTTGGAAGATTCTAACTTCAGTAGGATTAACAGGTGAAAGATAGTGTACATCACAAGTCTCTGCAGTTTAGCTAAAGGAAAATTGCGGGGATAATGCTAAGGGATTTGACGTTAAGGGTCATAACGTTAAGAAACATAAGTCAAAAGATTAAGAGAATAGACCTTTATCATGCTGCCACCATTTCAGTCATGTTCCCTGTGTCCAACAGTACTGAATGATAATATTTTTTGTGCAAAAAGGAATCCAGACTATTTTTCCTTCCAGCCTCGCTTTGGTTAAGTTGATTTGAATGGGAACAAATCAAGATGGGCACAACATGATAATGGTCTATAAGGCAATATTTTCAACAGTTGGTAAACTTGAACAAGCCCAAGATTATTGTAACTAACATTGAATATAATAGATCACGATAATCCATTAATTTACTTTTTATTTGTGTAATCTCACAAAGATATAGAATGGCAGAAATAGGTTTTAAAAAAATTACAGTACTCTTTTCACTGAAAACTATAAAAAGAAAAATAAGGAGATGATAATTAACTTAATAAAATAAAACATACATGGTTAATTTTCTGGTTAATGCAATATTAAAACAAGAACCTTAGTCAGATTAAACAGATTAGCCCAAATCAGTGCAAGTAGAAGGACCAAGCGGGATCCGGCTGTACAGGGTTTAAAGTCACGTCATGTTCTGTCACTCGAATCAAATTTCGTCATTGGTGAGTTTGCTAGTTGTAAACTGAGCAGGTGTGCCATGGAGCCAACCTATGTGAAACTATCTTCAATATCACACAAGGGGGATTTTAAGTGGTAAATATGACTAAATCTTACGGTGGCATGGAAAATTATTTCAGAAGAAAATTGAACAATCCTGTACGCTGTCTAAATAATGACCAACTTGACTAAGATTAAGTTTTCATTGTACAGCTTAGCGTTAGCACTTTGTTGTAAATCTCTCATGTGGCAGGCCGCTCCTTACCATTTAGCTTGTTGACACGTAGTTGGTGCTTGTGAAATGGTGCATTAGATCATTGTTACCGCGATATATTAAGCATTTTGTGTTTTGCCATGTTTGCCGTGTCCCATAATTGTTCAACTTGAAATATTTAATGTTCACCTTGTGCGACTCTTAAACGGTTCACGCCAGAGGACGTGTATACCCGCAAATATTTTGCGGTATTCGGAACGGATGACAGATAAACATGCAGGGAGCGAGGCCGGTAATACTCTGTCAGTGACCCGCTCGCAGCGAGCTAGACCGGAAATATGAGTGTGCTGCCCAAGGTTATGGCCTCAACCCGCCTGGCTTGAGGTCGAGTGAAAAGTAATCCCGTGCCTCGTTCGTTCTTGTCAAAAAGTGGTAAAGAGACAAAGTACTTGAACTAGTACTAGAAAGAAAAAAAAAATCTAGAATGCTATCAGGTACAGGGTGAGTCAAAAAAAGCGGAACCCAAACCCAACAAATATATTTCATATTTAAAAGAATATGTAGCTCCAAAAATAATAATGACTGGAAAGCCAATTTTAAAAAAAATTACTGAAATTGCTCAATCCGTTCAAAGAATATCACCATTTAAACGCAATGACCCTAAAACCTGTCTGGTCCAAAGAAAAGCAATTTATTGTGTGTTTTGACATGTTTGGAACAACAAAGAAAATGACACGGAATACTTGTTTCAACAACTGTCAACAACTGTAGTACACAATATCTTTATTAACAACCCTGGTTAGGCAAACAATATGATTTATAAAATCCACTTTTTTTCAAAGACGGGCCTTCCAAAGGACTTTGTTGAATATTTTTAAACTGAGGTTTTATCGCTTGTGATGTTTGAAAACAATTGTGACGACGATTATTGAAATCACATTTTTGGACGAAAGAGGTTTTAGGGTCATTGTGTTTAAATGGTGATATTCTTTGAACGGATTCAGCAATTTAAGTTATTTTTTCATCTAAAAGTAGCTTATGAAATTGGCTTTCCAGTCATTATTATTTTTGGTGCTACATATTTTTGTTTAAATTTGAAATATAATTTTTGGTGTTTGGGTTCTGCTTTTTTTGACTCACCCTGTACAAATGTATATTGCATGACACACTGTTTTTGTTGCATCATAGATTTGTTGAAGAGTGTAGTTAATGTCTTTGGCTTTCATATAACAGTACTCTAAAGTTAATAGGTGTGAAGTTTGCGATAGCCCCATGTACTCATATTTTTGGGGACTGCTATAAAGTTTTTTGTATCACTAGGTCTCGGATATTGTGAGTATGCAACCAAAATGTTTCCATATCTGCTTGTTAATCAACAAGAATAGACAGGGAAAAAGTTAGTTCCACTTTTTTTGTGCATAGCAGAGTTTTACTTTTGTACACATAGTCTTGGTTTAGGTACACAACACTCACTGATTAAGACCAAACAATTATAAATAGAATATTTTTACGTCATAGTTAAAAAAAATATTAGAAATCATATGTTACTCAGATTATTTTGTTACTACAAATTATTGAAAGCACTTTATTCTATTTCATGATATAATTTTTATGAATAAGATTGTAGTGCAGGTGTGGAAATAAATATATTATGAAAAAAAATTGTCCGTGAAGTACTGTATCACTGTCTTATACAAGTGCGCAAACTGTGGCACGAATAATTGCAACAAGTTTGTTGTCCCATTGTTAAAAAGGATCGAGTGCAGGTGTAGCGTGAATATCCGACTCCATGAAATGTGGACTCATTGGTAGTACTGCGCACGCGTGAGTACGATACCACGCTATTTTTAGGATCGTTTCGGGAGAGTGACCCGTCACGTGCGAGGGATCAACCAAAAATAGGGGTCCGATTTTCATAGGAGTCTGATTTTCATATGACACCGGGATTTGAGTACAAAGTGAAGTCTCGACGCATGAGGGCGACATTTAGTTGGAACGGTTGCCGAGCGAAGGATAGGACGATCCCTGCCTTGGTCTGTGGTCGAATAGCTTAATTGGTGAAACGAGTACTGTTTCTCATTTGCTGTTCACGGAATTGATTTGATGCAGGCGCACACGAGTAGCTGATTTTTTTTTTTTAATTAAGAAAATAAGATCAGAAGGAATCGAATTTTGGAGAAAAATTTTCGGACTGGTTCGATAAATAGACCTGATGCGTTACAGCCATCTTAGAGGGCAATGCCTTGGCTTTGCTGGGATTTGCATGAGTGAACCTTGTGTGCATTCATTGTTACTGAATTAAAATAACAAAAGATGCCCTCTAAGATGGCTGCTACGCATAAGGCCTAGGTGACCGAGAATCTTGATTGACAACATAATACAGATTGACGAGTGTCGGAGTGTGTGCTTCATTTTGCTATTTCACACTGACACAAACCGCATGTTATTGTCACATAAATAACCAAAGTTTCAACCGAATAGGTGGGGAATATGTCCACCTAATAATTTTAAAGCAATAAATCGGACAATAACTTGATATCCGTATGATTTCTTTTTGGACAGACTGGGTATCGTAAAACGATGTTGCTCACTCGGTTTGAGAAACCCCAGTCTCTAGTGGAAATATCGAATTAGGCTATACACTTCCAATGAGCATCGGAGCCGGGTTTTCCCAAGTTAATTATCACTCAGCATCCAATCCGCAGTGAAGCAACAAATCCGATTAGCCGTGCATAAAGTCGGTTTCAGTGAAATGGGTATTCGCTCATTTTCATGTCATTTTCATACGTTAATATTTGTTGCATTTGTCTAATTTTCACCAGTGCGAGTTAATGAGTAAGCCGCTTATTACTGCCTTGACACAGCGAAGCGAGGGTTGTTTCTCCAAATGAATTGAACTCGCCTCGCTTACTGACATTTTTAAAGCCAACTTCATCAATCATGTACGGCTAGCTGTTGATGAAGTCGTCATCGCCATTAGCGTGACGGGGTCACGGATTAATCATTGATGAAGAGTAGACTACACAGTCCAGGACCAAGGTTGTTTGGGTTTTGGATGGAGGGCAAATAACGGCGTTCAAATATCAGTCCCGCCGAATCTTTTGATCGATTTTCAGTGACCCTTTTCAGACATGTAAACTTGTCCGTTCAATTGCTACTCAATATAAAAAATCCATCTCCGCTGACAAGGAGGATACATATAAATCAGTTGGAGTAATCTTTGGAAGCAATTTTGAAAACAAATATTTATTGTGGGTGTGAAAGGTCTGGTACAAATTGGCGGCACTAACTCCGACGCTGCTGATTCGAAAAATATTCCTTACTTAAAAAAAAAAAAAATTGCCAAAAAGTCAATAAAATTCGAGAAATAATTTATGAGATTGCATAAAGAGTATATTCGAAGTTGACAGTTTTGGTTGGAGCGAAACCATTCAAGTAATCTCGCTTGACTGAAGCACACGTGGCTGTATGAATTATAAGTGAATGTTGTCCGAGAAGTTGCGAGAATACAAGCACAAGTTTGCACATTGGGGACTTGAACCCACGACCATCAGCTTGCTGGTTCGGCCAAATACTTCAGCAGCACCAACCTTTTTGTTTGAAGGAAAATGATACCAAGAATTCCCGATTCGGTCCAGTAGTTTTGATTCCAGCGACATTTTTGTGAATTAAGGTCAGGATCTCTAATTAAGATAATCGCACAGTGAACAAATGGACTATCTTAACCCCTGACTATCAATTTCCTTCTGACAAAATTTCCTAGCCGTACATTTCAGTGGTTTAGGTCCCTGGATATTGGAAGTATGAGGTTGCTGTTTTTTTACCACCATGTATAGCATCTTTGTTTTAATTATTGTGTACGTGAGCAACAACATTGACTTTTACACAGGCGCAGAAAGAACAGATGAATAAATGGATATTTCCACATGATGTAAAACACACTGTGAATTTAAGCAAATATCATGGCTGCACGAGAGAAAGGGAGAGGAATTATTGGATTGGGTATAAAAAGAAAATCTATTAATTGGCGGATCTAAACAAGAGAACTCAATAAATTGCCGGCCGCAGCCTGCTGTAGTCCGCGCCAGGTGCGTGCGGCTGTATTATTTCTCACAATGCTCATGGTCATAATATAAATATACATAAGCGGAGTAAACCTATCTGGATATATACTTAGCGCTAATGATGGAAACTCAGGATAAAATACTAAACTGACAAAGCTACAAAGTTGTCAAAAATATGAACTATTTCTTTTATTTTCTTCCCACAGAAAAAAAGCCAAGTTCCGAATGTATAATTATCTTGAATTAGGGAATTATTTCTCCATGTTTATTATATGTGGTGTACACAGCATTACTTGTTTTCGTTAAAGAGTTGATATTGTTTTGTACTATAGCAGTATATTTTTGGACAATGACAATGCCCAAGAAATATATCATACTGAAAACGAAGTAACCCTTTTCGGTTTTACTGCAATATTGGTTGAAAATACTACCAAACTGTAGTGCACTGTAGATCTTTTCAGTTTGTTGTGCGTAGTGTCCAAGTCAATGTACGTTACGTGCGCAATAGGATACTTTTGCGTATTTTTGTGCAGATACTTCTAACGCATGGAAATTGACATGTTGTAATTTATTAACAATGACAGCTATAACTGAATGAATTGATGTATCCTCTCGGAGCGAAATGGGCCGTCAGTGGATGATGAAAATTACTAATAAGGGAGGAGTTGATATAAATCGGAAACTGATGCACTGGTGAGATGGAGGTATAAAAGGGAAGAGGTTGTTACAAGGTTGACAATAGGTCTGAGACCTAATGACGTCACGCTTTTTTTTTTACATGTGAGCTTTCCTATGTGGTAGACGGTCCCCACTTCGTCTGGCGTCCCGACTTCGCTCCCCTAGGAAAGCGCATAAACAAAGCCATTACGCCATTAGGTCTCATGTATTTTATTGCACGTAGGCCTATATTGAATGTATTACCCTAAAAAAAATACCACACCCTGCATAATCACACCAACCGCTGCATAGGCCTAGACCTCCAAAACGTGACAACCTTTTACTTTGAATCATACCACTTTTGATAAACGATACCTTGTTCAAACATGAAACAGCCGTGACACCTGCTGCGGTTTTATTTGCACGTATAGGTAACAGCTGGAGCAAATTGTTAAGTTTGCAATGACATTTGTACAAGGATGCAACTTGCAAGTCTATTCACAAATCAACAAAAAGCGAACAATGAAATTTACTTTGAAAGGGTATATACAAATATACAGTATTAAATAGCGTATCGCAATGCTGTTTCGATGTATTGCCGGTGGAAATGTATTTTTAAATTTCAATTAAATTAAATTTCGCATAACATTTATTTCCATACTTCTATTAAAATACAGAAGCACATTATTAATAAAGAACATATGAGTTATATTAAGACATGAGACAAATTTGCATAA